AAAAAAAGTCATACTATAGCATGTCGTTTTTGGCCAAAAAAGTCGAGTCTCAGAATGTCCTGAAAACGCATCAGGATGTAGTATATAGTGCAAATAATGTAATGCATGTGGTACAAAACCTCTTAGGAAAGTATTTCCTGAAATATGACACATCATGTGTTTTGGCCTGACAGAAAAAAAGTCATACTATAGCATGTCGTTTTTGGCCAAAAAAGTCAAGTCTCAGAATGTCCTGAAAACGCATCAGGATGTCGTATATAGTGCAAATAGTGTAATGCATGTGGTTCAAAAGCTCTTAGAAAAGTATTTCCTGAAAAATGACACATTATGTGTTTTGGCCTGAAAGTATTTCCTGAAAAAAAAGTTTTGTTGTTATGCCCAGCTTGTTGAAGCGCATAACAAAGAAGGGAGGTCGACACAGGAACAGCTTTTAAATATACAAGTAATTTATTGAAAACACTCAAGAAAGAAACATTAATGATAAAGTCCGTAAACCAAGAGTAAACCCAACATAATAAAGCTAAAACCAAACGAAGGTAGATGCATGAAAGGCTCCAGCCCTCCAGGAGTGAGAAAGAGAGAGCCAGGTCACCAAGGAGAATGAAAGAGGAAAGCAGAGGCACAAGTGCAGGAAAACACAGTGACACCAGGCCTGTGTTTGGGCCTGGACAAAAAAAAACCAAAATCATGCTATAGCATGTGTTTTTCACAAAAAAAGGTCATGTCACAGAATGTCGTCAAAACGTGTCAGGATGTCCTATAAAGTAGAAACAGTGTGCTGTATGTTTTAAAAAAACACCTCAGGAAAGTATTTCCCTCCCAAAAAAACAACTTAAGTGTTTTGGCGTGAAAAAATGAAGTCATGCCATCGTGTGTGTGTTTTTGTTGTTGTTGGGTTTTAAAAAAAAAAAAAAAAGAAAAAAGAAGGTCATAGTTGTAAAAAACACCCAAGGAAAGTATTTCCACCCCAAAAACTCAAAAAAGGGTCCTCCTTTGCTTTGGTAACACTCGTGTTTGTTTGTGTGACTGCAGCGTGTGGAGAAGCTGTGGGAGACCATCGACCAGCTGTACCTGGAGTTCGCCAAGAGGGCCGCGCCCTTCAACAACTGGATGGACGGAGCCATGGAGGATCTGCAGGACATGTTCATCGTCCACAGCATTGAAGAGATCCAGGTACCTCCCCCTCCCCCATACATTAACATACAAGCACAGCAGTTTTGGATGTGATGTTAGTAATTATTACTCTTAATTATATTCATGTTAGAGCCTGGACTGAAATATTTTCAGCGTTTTCATGCCTGCTGTAAACTGTCTCAGGTGCTTGATGGACTGTTTGCCTTTTAAACATCAAAAACATTACAGTTCAGTCATCAACATCCATTTTAATACAGAAACAACTCTATTCAGGTATTCTCCTGTCATCTTAGATGTCCCTACTTATTACTTATCATCAGATACATCACTGGATTCTATGTCGTATTAATTTTGCCACACAGTCACTCTGTCCAAACACTTCTATTGTCCAGATGTCTGTAATGTGCTTTTCTCTACTTGCTGATTAAATCCTTTGGAACAAGGAACAAGGGGCTCTTCTGTAAACAGCAATGCACATAGGTGCAGGTTTTGAACCAAAATATTTGAACTGGAAGAGATTTATGAAAAGTTAATAGAAGTAGTACAAATATGTGTCGCTGTTTTCCAGGAAGATACATTATTTTGCTGTGTTCACTCCCTGAGGGCTGGAAAGCTCTGACATGACATTTGAGTTGGCTGCAAAACAAGATGACAATCATGAGCTAAACCCTGATTACAGCAGTCATGTTTTCAATCTGCAAAAGTACAGACTCTTCAGTTCTTAAACAAGACCTCCAGTTATCAGTATTTACAGGTTATAAGTAAAAGCTCAAAGTCAAACATGTTGCCTGTCCGTGCTCCTCACCCTCTTTCTTCTCCTGTACAGAGTCTGATCACAGCTCACGACCAGTTCAAGGCCACCCTGCCCGAGGCTGACAAGGAGCGCATGGCCACCATGGGCATCCACAGCGAGATCCTGAAGATCGCCCAGACCTACGGCATCAAGCTGTCCGGAATCAACCCGTACACCAACCTCAGCCCCCAGGACATCAGCACTAAGTGGGACACTGTGAGTCAAATCAGACGTCATTCATAGTCAGCAGTGAAAAATAACATTCATCATTATAGTGGGATCACCTTTAAAATCAGTTTATTTCTTTTTTGAATAAGTTGACATTATGTAAACAGGACATGTCAGCCTAACTCTGTGTACTGCATTTGGCCATCTGGATAATTCTAAGTACAGTACTGACACAGCGACAGGTCAGAAATAGTACAGTACATGTAGGTTGGAGTGACACTGAATACTGCAGGCTGTGAGCTCTCAGGGGAAATCAAAATAACTGCACAGGACAATCTGTCAGTGCAGTCTCAGATCAGACCAACTCTGCTGAAAAAATACACTTTCCTGTGACAGTTATGAAATTAAACAACTAAGCATACTTTGCAAACTTTAGTAAACTTAAATGGCTTCTCTAATAACTACATTCACAGAAAGAAAGAGTACTTTGGCAGTCTGGTCATATTCAGTGACTATAAACTGTATAGAAAACATCTATAAAGTTGGTCTGAATGAGTCTGTAGCGATGCAGCAAGAACACAAGCAGCACTTCAGTAAAATGTGATGAACACAATGGTTTGATGTTTATGGAATATGAATGATTAAGTACATCTACACAGATATCTACTAAAAAACCCTTAAATTGTCTGCAGGTGAAGCACCTTGTGCCCCTCAGAGACCAAATGCTTCAGGAGGAGGTGGCCAGACAGCAGGCCAACGAGAGGCTGAGGCGCCAGTTTGCTGCCCAGGCCAACATCATCGGACCCTGGATTCAAACCAAGATGGAGGTACAGTTGTACTGTCACACTACAGCAGACTGTCAGTGATGCAGCCAATCGACCAGAAAAAGTTTCCAAAATACAATAACAGTCTGAATTTTTAGATTGGACATTAGACATGATATGGACACATTAATTATTGTTGTGGGAACAATGATGTTGACCAGTTAAACAGAGATACAGTAAGTAAGTATGACAAGGAACGAGTAAAACACAACATATCAGAACAAAGCAGTACAGTGAAATATGTAAAGTATGTTTTTTAAAAATTTAACTGTCAAGACAATTTATAGTAAATGAAAATGTGATGATTTACTTTTCCTTCCTGCTCAGATTTATCAGTTTGGAATCACATAAGTACAGCCATCAAACAAAAGCACCAGGACTGCATGTAAAGCCCAAAGGATTGTGTTGAATTCATTGTGCAGACATAATAAACGTTGTGCCTTTTTCTTTTCCCCCCAAATGTATCATCATGCTCCTGTTTCCTGACTCTGCAGGAGATCAGCCATGTGTCCGTGGACATCGCCGGCTCCCTGGAGGAACAGATGAACAGCCTGAAGCAGTACGAACAGAACATCATCAACTACAAATCCAACATCGACAAGCTGGAGGGAGACCACCAGCTCAGCCAGGAGTCCCTCATCTTCGACAACAAGCACACCAACTACACCATGGAGGTGCAGTGAGCTTGGCTGACCTTCCACCTCGCCTGTGTTTGCTTCAAGTGTCTGTTCCCTCTCTTTAATCTCCTCCCATTCCTTCACTATTGCAGCACATCCGTGTGGGCTGGGAGCAGCTGCTCACCACCATCGCCAGAACCATCAACGAGGTGGAGAACCAGATCCTGACCCGCGACGCCAAGGGCATCAGCCAGGAGCAGCTCAACGAGTTCAGGGCCTCCTTCAACCACTTCGACAGGGTGAGACACCTCCAACTGTGTGGTGCTGGATGTAGCATGTTCTAAAGACTAGCATCCAGAAGAAACACCAACTAATCCAAATTTTTTAAAGATCAATTTGATAGGGGTACATTTTTTGCCCTTTCAGTAATCAAATTCTCCCTTCAGTTAATGCTCCATGTTCTAGCACCAGTAAGAGCATCATCCAGGATCAACTGTTCCAGTAATTAAAGCCAGTTGTGTTTCTCCTTTGCAGAAGAGAAACGGCATGATGGACCCAGACGACTTCCGTGCCTGCCTCATCTCCATGGGTTACGATCTGGTGAGTGCACTGACACTTACAGAGACTGGACTTGTTTTAGTTTGAGTGGATGTAAAAGTGTTAATGAGTACAAGAGTTTACTTTTTAAGTCGGACCTAATGACGCTGAAGTAATACATCCTTTCACTGACAGGGTGAGGTGGAGTTTGCCCGCATCATGACCCTGGTGGACCCCAACAACACGGGCGTGGTGACCTTCCAGGCCTTCATTGACTTCATGACCCGCGAGACCGCTGAGACCGACACTGCAGAACAAGTCATGGCCTCCTTCAAGATTCTGGCATCAGACAAGGTAAGCAGAGAAATACAGCATCCTTTAAACTTTACACACAACAACACAAACATTTACATTTACAACAGGATGTACAGAAGCTTCCAGGCAGTTTTCTGTAGTGATCTGAACTCTTAGGTCAAGAACATAAGTATTTTTGGATAATACAGGAAAACACACAGTCTGGGTACAAATATAGCTTCTGTTAGAACTTAATCTATAAAATGCTACATGTTGGATAATAAGTAAGAAAAAATGACAACATAAATTACACACTAGGTTTAACATATTGTTGTCATTACATGGTTTGTCCACTAGAGAGCACAAACATGTTCACTTTAGCTATAAAATGCTCCACCATCACATTTAGGCCATTTGTATTTAAATAGTTATGCATCAGCCTGAAGTTTCTAATCTGCTGCACACATGTGCATGACTGACTGCAGACAGGCTCATAATCTGTGGTGGCTGAGGCCAGATGAACTCAGACTGAAACTAACTCAAATTGACTTTTGAAGGTCAAGGTATTTATTATCACCACCAACTCACGTCAAACCTCCTGGGCAGCAGTGTTCGGAGTGCATCATAAGTAGCTGATAGGTGGTTCTGTATTTAGAGATGGTTGTTCTAGTTTAACATCGAAGGCTGCTTTATCTCCCTTATAACACCATCTGTCTTCTCTGTCCAGAACATGGACATCACAAGTCTCTTATCCTTTAGATGCAGGTGGGTTGCTGAGTGTTGTCCTGAGGAGCTGGCTCATTGAGTAGTAGTTGTTAGTTTCCCACATATACAGGTCTGCTGCATTGGATGTTAAATTAAACATTGTTCAGCTGGTGTTTGGTTTGACTGCTGCTGGGTCTGAAGTGCAGCCCAATGTCATCTTCAAACAACTGGCTTTACATTAATTCTGATTCATGTCATAGGTTGGCATGTTGGTCCAGTCTAGTTACAATACAGTTCAGAACTATGCAGATATTACAGGAAGGAGAGATAATGTGACACTTTTGTGATGCATTTATTGCTCATTGTTAATGTTTAAAATGGTGAAATTGTGGCTGGTTAGTGGTTTAGTCTGCGCTGCTGTGGATATTTCCAGCTGTATCTGTTTATTTAGGAGGTCAGGAATACAGTAGCTTCAACTGGGACTGCAGCCACAATGACAGCTGAGGTTCAGGCACTGACTCTCTGTAGTGACAAGCTGTGGCGGTCTACAGAGAGTCTGCTCACCCTCAAATCTGAACCACTGCATTAAAAACAAAACTAGAGGCTCAGCATCTCTTAAATACGACTGCGGTGTGTGCACTGATAGTTTTGCTGGCTGAGAGTATTGAAGCTACTTTATTTGTGAACGTCTAAAACAAACACAGGTTCAAACAGTGAAGCTGGACATAGCCAGAGCTCCACAAACTGAACATCAGCAGCTGAAGGCCAAACAGTAACCATAAGTCCAGCCGCAGCAATAAATGCATCACATAAAGTGTCACGTCATCTCTCCTGTCTGTGCTGTGTTTCCCTGAACAGGCAGTGCATTATAACTGAACAGGGCCAACACATGGATCAGAATCAGTGTAAACCACAGAGGGAATGCAGTAGCAGTCCTGGAAAGGTTCTCACTGTGACCTTTAGGGGGGCTCTGCTAGATGACAGCATTGTTTGTCTTGTCTGATGTTTTTTCCAGATCTCTTAGCTGACTTCACCAAGGCCCATTTGGGATAGGTGTGTGCTCCTTTTCTTTTCCCTCTGTCTAGGTAGAAACATTCTCAGCCCGGTGGTGTAAAGTTCTGCGACCTTCCAGTTTAGGTTCTAGTTTCTGGGAGTCAAAGACTGTGGAGGCTTTTGTCCTCCTCAGTGCACACTGCCGACCTGAGAATGTCCCGACAAAGAGAGGGAATGAAAAGCAGCACAAATATTAAAGCACCCAAAACTTAAGTATAACTTGAGCTATTCCATCTGGGCCTTCATTAGCAAAGAGATCTGGAAAAAATGGCAGAACATCAAACAGAAGAAAAGGTGAACAGGCATAACAATGTGGTCTACGAAGCAAAGAGTGCACAAATCTCTATATAGAAAAGATAAAACAGCCACTCCTCAGGACAAAACTCAGCCGTCCACCTGCATCTGAACGATAAAGGACGCTACCTTTAGGACAGCAATGTACACACTGTAGTCAGAGAAGACAGAAGAGTCGAGGAAGCCATCGATGTCAAACTGGAACATCAATTGCTAAACAGAGGAGATGGTCTACAACAGGGGTGTCGAAATCCGGTCCTCGAGGGCCGCAATCCTGCATGTTTTAGACGTGTCCCTCTTCCAACACACCTGATTCAAATGATCAGGATCGTTATCAGGCTTCTGCAGAGCTCGATGATGAGCTGATCATTTGAATCAGGTGTGTTGGAAGAGGGAAACGTCTAAAACATGCAGGATTGCGGCCCTTGAGGACCGCAGTTCGACACCCCTGGTCTACAATACAACTTATCAGCCACTTAGAATAGACTCCTGAACATCCCAGACAGTTTAACCACCATTCACACCTTAAATCATATAAATTGAGATGACCATAAATACCCAGAACCAAACAGAAGTCTAGCTCCATTCAACTAAAGCATCAGTGTGGTCCAGAACAATAAGAATCAGCCTGTCTGCCTCTATAACTCACACCTGACCTCCTCCTCTCTCCTGCAGAATTACATCACAGTGGACGAGCTGCGCAGGGAGCTGCCACCCGAGCAGGCAGAGTACTGCATCAGCCGCATGACCAGGTACATCGGACCCGACTGCCCCCAAGGCGCCCTGGACTACATCTCCTTCTCCAGCGCCCTCTACGGAGAGAGCGACTTATAAAACAGCCGCTGCTCTTCACCTCCTCCTCACCCCTTCTTCCCAGCTTCTCCTATTTCTCCTGTTTGGAGAGAAATTTAAACCCTTCCACTGTCCTTCTATATGCTTTGTTCTTATCATTTTTCCTCTCTCAAATCTTAACTTTCTCCCTCCTCCTCCTCCTCCCATCCCTCCTCTCATGCCCAGGAACACTGCTCAGAGAGGGCGAGAGCTGTAGACTTTGCTCAAATCTTAGAGGTTATGTTTGGACTGGCCAGATGCTCTCTCATATCTGTTAGGGTGCCTTTTAAGAAACCAGGTATTGCACTGAACTTATGTAAGCAGCATACATATAACATACCTGCCTTTAGGAGACTTTAAAGAGAAGGAGGTAATGAGAGAGAAAAAAAAGTGTTAGCTTTGAGCAAAGCCTCCTGCTCTTGCCCTCTCTACCTAACAACTTCTTTTTGTAGAAGGGTAATTAAAGAAGAAAACGTGATAAAAAAGCTGGTTGGTCAGTTGGCTTGGTTGGTTGTGTATTTGTGCAGATGCATGCTATGTTGAAGTTTAGAAACACTGTCGTTGAGTCTCGGACTCTTCCTTAATCATACAAAAATGCAAACGGTGTCAGTAGGAGCCTGTTAACAGTTCAGTCGGCAGAGGAGAGAAGCAGGTCAGGTGCTAATATGTTACAAAGGCAGCAGAAAATTCTCACTGTAAACACTGCAAACCAGAGCACTGTGAAACCTGAACGTTAGCAAAGATCAAATTGAACCTGGAGCTCTTAAAGCCTTAAGACACTCAGGAACTAATGGAGGATGAATGGGAGCACCTAAACATGAGCACTGAATAGTAAAATGCACACAGAGGGAGCAAAGCACTGTGGGTAAATAATACAAAGACGGCCATGGCTGGATGGTGACTCAAGAATGAAAACAGAAAGACTAACTGTTACGACCAGGGAGAACGATCCCACACACCTCGACTCTCTGTCCAAAGTCCTTTCTGCGTTTCGGCTACATTTAAAACAAGAGCAGAAAGGACTGGACAGAGAGAGGCAGTGAGAGACAACAGGGCATCAGGAAAGTTGTGGACAAAAATAGGAAGAATCGATACTGAACGTGGGACCATAGGAGGCCTGTGTCAGTGAGGAAGCTCATAGGGTTTTGGTCCCATTTAAATTGCAGGTCAGCCGTGATAAGCAGTGCGAGCCGACTCCTCCCTGTGCATGATCTGTGCTCCGTTCTCCTCCTCCCCTCATCCTCCGCTCATTCTGTCCATCAGCATTGATGCCATAAAAAGTCACTTTCAAACAGTTAAATTTTAAAAACCTCAACTTGGAATAAAAAAGGTAAATTATATTATTAAAAAACAGTTGTTTGTGTTGTTTTTTCATCACCTTTAGCCTTTTTTGCGAGTATATAAGTAGTAACAATCGTTTTGGGGGTTAATGGGCACATCACGAGCATGAAATGTTTTACCTACGCTGTACAGACTACATATCATAACTGCTTCAGTCGACCTGGATGACTGAGAACCTACACAGACCATAAACCGTCCTACCTTGAAGCTCTGCGCTGAGGTCACATGTCCAGTTCGGTGTCGGGGCCCCAGCAGAGGTGAGAGGGGAAGTCCGCCCCCCTCTCCTGAGCGTAGCGTATCCAGTGCTCCTCGTCTCCTCGGTGCGTCAGATACCTGCAGCCCATCCTCAGCTCAAACTCCCTGAGGTCACACCACAGCTGGAAGTCCTGCAGGGGCGAGGATGAAGAAGAGAACGATGAAAATGTTTCTGAAAATAATCCCTTCCAACCTCTACTTATGCATTTTTAATTCATCTTCAATAACTTTGATGTAAAGGGTCAGTAAAAGTCTTGTTTTCTTGATAACTATTTTTCATTAAATTACAGGTTCAGTGGTAACTCATTAATAATAGAAAGACTAGTTATTGTCCACATGTACAATCTACATCCCCTAAACTACAGAACACAGCACTACAAATAGAATCGGACTAAAATTCAGGTACGCCTCAGTATCCTGGCCAACATCTGTGCATTCAGTGATGCCAAAACATTCATCAAGAGCCTCCTCTGTTATCCTGACAGAGTGTAAAGTACCTCACCTGCAGCCAGGGATGTCCCAGCGCTTTGCCCACAGTGAACCTCCGTCTCACCGACACCTGCAGCAGGTTACTAATGAGGCTCACAGCTAGACAGGAAAAGACATGAAGAGAGAGAGAGAGAGAGCGAGTGAGTAGAGAGGATTTACTCACTGGAGTCACCCAGTGGGCAACAAGAGAAGATCAGGAATCAGTGTGCTGTGGATATTATCCCTCTTAAATCCCACTACAGATAACGAGGCCACACACTCAACAAAGAAACAGAAATTTACGTCAGCTTTTAGTTGTTTCCAAAAATACCAAAAGAATTGGAGGCATTAAGATTATGTGACTGAATGGTGCAGCTATAATAAAATGTGAAAGCAAGGGTTTCTAAGATATCATTAAACTCCTAATTATTCAATGAAGAGCCGATAGAGCATTTACGTGATGGTGTCAGAAGGATGTGGTCGAGCTGTCTGTTTGATTTTGTAAAAATGGTACAATTACTGACATTTTTTTGGATTTAAAAAGTTCCACCTCGAATCATCTCCTGCTCGACTGCTTCTGATTTGCTTGAAATTTATTTATTTAATTTTTAAACTATGGATATTTAAAATGGTATCTTTGGAATTTTAAAATTAATATATCAAATACTCATAAATAGATTTTTAAAAATGACCACTTTCAGCACATTTTTTTTAATCACACGTTAAAATTTGAGGCAATGTTTGGAAACCTGAAACTTTCATTGATATTTCTCATGGTGCCATTAATTCAGAATCAATACTGGACAAGTAGATCAAATAGTTTCTGGTTATGGATGAGCTGACATATATAAAAAATTAAAGCAGTTATGAAATTACACAAAACTATGTAACAAGTCTTGTCCAAACCAAGGTGTATGCCCACAGTGGGGTCCCGAAAATATCACTAGTTGACTTCTTAATTATAATTTTTTTTGTTTTTGCTCAAAGATGGGACTTTGCAATACAGCTTCAATTTGTTTTCAAATTTCAACTCAACAAAAACTTAAAGACTTTTGGATCTACTTGTTCAATATTGCAGATTCTTTATTAATGACATAATGATAAATAATAGTGAAAATTTCAGGCTGCTTTCCTAAATATTTCCTGAGATATTGTCAAATTTTAATGAACAAAAAAATGTGATAAAAGGAGCTGACAGGCAATTTTTCATGAACTCTTTATCTTGAAAAGTATTTGATATTTCAAGCTTAAATTTCACAAATATCTTTATGAAAATACATTTTTTATCCAATAAAAATTTAATTAAAATCAGAGCTGGCCAAGCAAAAGAACTTAACCGTTCTATAAAGTTGATTATTTCAGATGGACGGATCCCATTTGAGTCCCTAAACGCACCGATTGCACCCAGAAATCATCCTTACCTTCCAGAGAGATGGAGGCCCAGGGATGCCGTGGGTACATGAAGGCAGCGTTGGTGATCTGCTGTCGGATGTCCTCGTCCTCGTTGAAGGGAAACGTGCCGCTCAGGCTGACATACGTGATGACGCCTACAGACCACATGTCCAGAGAGCGGTTGTAGCCGCTGCTGCTGATCACCTCAGGAGCCAGGTAGGCCGGAGTCCCCACCACCGAGCGGCGGAACGACTTCTCACCGATGATGCGGGCGAAGCCGAAGTCGCACAGCTTCACCTGCGACACAGACACAGTGTTAATTATTAAAGAAGATGTTTTGACAGCTTACATCTGCTGTAAATGAACAAAATCCTACCTGAGGGAAGGGGTCCGCAGAGGCCAGCAGTACATTCTCAGGTTTCAGGTCGCAGTGGGCGATATGCTTCAAGTGCAGATACCTCAAAGCCTCAAGAATCTGCATCGCAAATATGAGAAAGATGTGTCATGGTACAGTATTTCTGTATCAGTATTGATGCAGGAGGAGATTTAAAAAAACATTTTGGTATTTTCATTGAAGCCAGGTTGGAAAGACGGAAGAAATTAAATCATTTGTGGTCAGTTACAGCTTTACTTAGTTTTTCTTATTTCATTTTTCTATTTTGGATAAACACGCAAAATCATATCAGAACAAGCAGTACAAATCTTGTGCTTAGTTTTTGGTGAAAAGTAAAGAGAAAAACTGGCATGAAGGTACTGAAGCATTAAAGATTACTGCATCTTTGAGGGCTGACATCATTTAAACAGCTCACGATCAGGGCCTCATACCTGCATGACCAGGAAGCGAGTGATGCGTTCAGGGAGTCGGCCTTTCTCACTGGACATAATCATCTCCAGCATGTCTCCATGGAGCTTCTCCATGATGACGAAAACGTGCTCGACAGTCTCGAACATGCCCTCCAGCAGAACCACACCGAGGTGGGACAGATTCTGGACGACACACATAGACTCAGATTAGATGCTGCAGGAACTAGTTTTTAATAAGCACTGCAATAAAATTCAACAAAAAACATTTTAAAACCTGCAAAATGGCCACTTCATTCCTCAGCTGTCGGTCTTGTTTGGTAGGGAAGCGCGTCTTGTCGATGACTTTGATGGCGACTGGCCGACCTGACTTCCTGTGAGTACCTGAAGAGTAAACAATGACAAAAAGATATTAGATTTGGGATTCAATAACTGTAGAATTGAAACAATCATTTGACAAAAACAGCAGCTTTCTTTTAATGAGACATTCTTTGATTTCTGCTTCTTAAATATAAAAACTTTGGTTTGACTTGATCGTGTGTGACAGTAAATGTTTTGGTGAGGTGCTCAAAGACAAGAAATTAAAAGTTTAAAAATAGTTGCATCATTTTTCTGTGATGTATTCTTCTAGTTAGTTGCATGAAGACAGTTGTGGTTAGTCACAGGATGAGAAAACACTCTTAGCTGTAAAAACGTGTGCGTTGAACCAGCTCACCTCTGTACACCACTCCAAACTGTCCTGAACCCAACACATCGTCTGTAAAGATCTGATACACCGAGCTGATGTCCTGAAACACACACACTTACATTAACACTGTGCAAAGACAAGCGCTCCAGAAATGTGAACAGTAAATTCAGGAGGACACAAGCTGATCGTCACCATGCTGTCTCTCTGTCGGTCTTTATCTGCAACCAGAACAAGAGGGCATGTTGTAAATAAAGATTTGTACAGACACATAAGGCTAAATTCAGAGCTATTCATTTGGGTTTGTGTGTTTAAGTTGTTAGTAAAAAGTGTTTAACAGCTACTTGGTTATATGAATTCTAAAAAGCTTTATTTTCTCTCTAACATCTGATGATATGAACATGCAGAGGGTTTGTTGATATATTTTAAGCCCACCTTTGTTCCCGTCGCCGTGTCCTCTGCTGCTCTGTACGGGCATCAGAGCCTGGCGGATGGCACTCTCCCAGGCTGCTCCTTCCTCACCGGCCTCCACACAGTAAACCAGCGAACCCGTCACCAGCTCCAACGAGTGAGCGCCGCCGCTGGGCAACGAGGGCACGGCGAGCTGGGCGGGGCCTCGGACCCGCAGCACCTCGGACAGAGGGATCTCCTGCAGGAGAGATTTGAATTCAATGATTTCATCTCTAATTAAGAATGTGATAAAACCAGCTCACGAGTACTCCGTCATCAAACTCTGCTTTGTTACTTCTTGGTGGACGAGGTTTAAAACCTCATGACACACGGATCAGCCACAACATTAAACCTTTCTAATGTTCTAATTGTGCTGGTCCCTTGTGCCACAAAACAAGCTCTGATCGGTCAAGATGGGGCATCTTTAGACCTCTGAAAGTGTTAAATCAGGCACCAAGACATCAGCAGCACATGATTTACATCCTGGAAGTTGAGAGATGATCAGACTTGTTTTTCATCCCACAGATGCTCCACTGGACTGAGAACTGACTAATTTGTTCTCTGTTTGTGATCTGCAACAATATTCAGGTGGGAGGTTCGTGCCAAAGCAGCATCCTCATGAAAGCAGGACTCACGATTGCTCAGCAGAACATTACCCAGAGTACCACTCTGCCTCCCTGCTGCCATCTCGTCCACAGATAAACGATGCACAGGCACCAAACAGCTCACATGATGTAAATAAAAATGTGATTCATCAGAACAGGCCACCTTCTTGCTTCATGGTCCAGTTCTGATGCTTTAATGCTCCTTGTAGGCTCTTCAGGCAGCAGGCAGGGGTCAGTATTTACCATCTGCTTGCAGGTATGCAGCTATGCAGTGGTGCACTGTGTGCTCTCAAACCTTTCTATCATAGAAAGCATGAAGGTTTCAGCAATCTGAGCTGACCACATGGGCCAGCTTGTGCTTCCTTCACACATCACTGAGCTTTGAACACCATGTCCCCGGCTGTACAGCATTGGACCACTTTTGGTTTTTACTAACAGCACCAGACCTGTTGCTACAGACTTGTTCTGACCCAGTCCTCTTCCATCACAGTCTGGCCCTTTTCAAAGCTGTTCAGATTCTTATGCTGCACATTTTACCTGCTTGTAACATAAACGGCAACAACTGACTGTTTGTTTGCTGCCTGATTATTCCACCTCTTAACCTCTCATCAACATCCCAGCGAACAAGACGATGCTGATGTTTACCAACCAATCCGGCACCGTTCAATGATATGGGTCACTCAGGATTATACAGTATCTGGGCTGCAAGTAGTGATCGTTTCCATTATCAAGTAATCTGGTGATTGTTTTTTTAATTAATCGATTAGTTGTTTGGTCTTTATGAAGAGAGTCAGTGTTTTCAGAAGGACAAGATGACGTCCTTAAATGTCTTGTTTTATCCACAACACAAAGCTATCCAGTTCACTGTCATAGAGGAGGAAGGAAACCACAAGATATTCACATTTAAGAAGCTGCTATTGGAGAATTTTGACTTGTTTCCGTAACAGACAACACCATTAACTGATAGATTGATCATCAAAATAGCTCTAGAAGACTTATGAGACAACGTAAGAGTTGCTCTGCTTGTTTCTATCTGGTTTGTCATGTAGACGTTCTACCTTGTAGTACTTGATGCTGCTCTCGTTCTGGTACAGAGTGATGGTTTTCCAGTCCAGGATCCAGTAATGACGCTTCCTCTGAGAGAAGAAATGACAAACATGGAATTGCAGATACCATGCTTCTAACATGTAAACATGAATTCAAAGCCAAAGAACTGTGCACACAAAGCTACTGTGTAGACGCTGCTTTTTCTGAATATTTTTTAATTTGGCTGAATGTTTTAATACGTTTTGATGTCCAGTGAGAACATCTGACCGTCTAAATGTAAAATAAACACACATGTCCAGTCTGAATGTGTGTTTCTCACCAGCGTGTCGGTGTCGGTGTGGTGCAGCAGCCATCCCTCTCTCAGGACTCCTGCAGCTCTCCTCTTAGTGTGATGCACCGACTGGACGAGCCTCATCAGGGGGATGTTGCTGCTGAAACATGGACTGATCGACAGGAAAAGGACAAAAATTACTAAACAAACAAGCAAAAATGAAAATCAATACAACTAAGCATTGTTTAGAAATCAAAAACCTGATCCTAGTTGCCTCTAGGGGGCAGTGTGGATCAAAAGTTCACTGACCACAACCGTGTCATGCAGAAGTGATGAATGAGAGGACAGATGAGTGTGTTTTGGTCTGAGTGTGTAGGTGTGTGACATCATCAGGATATGGCCTGCAGCTACATCACAGCCGGCTTTTAGCTGAGACGACATCATCAGTAACTTATCGACTCTCTGACCTCATCGGCTCTTGCAGTTGCTCAGCTTCCTCAGTTTCGGCCAGTGAGTCACCATCAGTGGACATCTCATCGTCAGAGATGTCTAGTATCGTGGTGGCCACTGACTCAGTGTCGTCTTGGTCTGGTGGGCAGGTGCTGCCGGCAGCTGAAGGGAAGGAACATCATGAATGAACAATCTGAAGGTTACAACTATTGATCACCTATATATTTTTTAAGTTATCTATTTATTAAATCTACACATATTGTAAAAAAAAAATGGTCCAAGTGACATTTTCAAATAACAGTAAAAAAAAAATGATATTAACACAAAAAAGCTTCAATTCTTGACATCTGAGAAGCTGGGGAAGGAAACTTGTTTGTATTTTTCTTGATGAATGACTCAAACATGTTGAAAACTACTGCGGATTAACCTTCTCTCCGTCTTTTCCTCATCAGTAACACAGGTACATGATGTACAGCTCCTGTGTTAACTCATCCCAGGGTCAAACGCTATCTGGTGACAATCATGTTGAATCTTATCAGCCTTTGTTCTCAGGTCTCTGAGTCATCATGCTGCTAATCATCATCACTACTTGGACAAACGTGACGCTCTGGGAATCTAAAAGAGGCTGAAGGCCGAGTCTATCAACCACTCTGGAGACGGAGGGTGAATCAGCTTTGACTCATCTCAGCGCCATGAGAACATCAGAGCGGAGGGACCTTTTCAAAGAGCCGTGATCTAACACAAGTCCAGAATGCAGAATGAAAAGCAGATCTCCAGGGAGCTGCTCACCTTCCCCGTTGACGCCTCTCCTCTCTCCCGGACAGTCTCTGGGGACTAAAGGCTCGCAGCGCTGATGACAGTTAAACCTGCAGTCTGCAAAAATGATCAGAGGAAGAGCAGTGGGAGGTTGAAACACCGACAGAATAAGAAGGGAAAAGAAGAAGAGCGCTGGTGTTTGGAACAAAGTCATGAGGGTGATGTGATAAGTACAGAATATCCTTGAGGCTGAATTATTCATGTCAGTGTCAGTTTTCATAAATAAAACTCATCTTTTCCGCAGGAAAATCAGGAAACCCGATCTGCTTACGCAAATAAGTTGGATACACAAGCTCCCTGCTCGTACATCGGCCTCTTTGGGACCAGTATGAGCTCATGAGCCTCTAATCCAAACATGACTAATCAAAGTCAATGTGCTGCTGGAGCAGAACGTCTAAAAATGGCCACAGAGTAGAAATACGTTTTCATATACGAGGCAGGCTGCACTACATTGAACCTTTCAATAGCTGCACATTGCAAGTCATGAATATGGGACATTTGCTATTTTTGTAGGAGCTTAAAGATTTTATTTTCAGTGAAGCTTTATTTCTTTTTAAAGCTTGATCATACAACAAATGTTAGCACTGCAAGTGGAGGATAATTTTTTCAAATATCTGAGAATTCCTAATTTTGTGCAACATGCTACGAATTTGCTTTCTTGTCTGGAGTTAGAAGATCTTTCTGTAATTTTTTTTTTTAGACATTTTGTCACATTGTTGTGCAACTTAAATAAGAACTGCAAGTTGCTATGGAGATGACAAGCAGATTAAAAAATGTCTTGCTCTCTGTATTTCCAGCTTTTGTGCAAAGCTAAGCTAACTAACTGATGATACAGTTCACACGACCATTTATAGCTTTTTGGGATTCTATGCAAATTCCTAACGCACTTATGAACACTGCAAATCTGCATCACATTTCATCTATATGTAAATGAGGCTAAAAGCTTTTCTACACATTAAAACACTTCAAAATCAGAGCAAACACGTTATAAAATATGAACCAATAACAAACCATATCTGGTTCACAACTATAAGCAGCACAGAGAAGCCGATGTCTGCAATATTTTACTGTTTGAATATTCAGAGCAAAAACACAACAAGATGCTGTGAAAAGGGCGGGGCAGCGAGGCAGGAGGAATAAAGTGCAAAAAACACATTCATTGAGGGGGAGGAGTATTTGCAGAGATAGTGTGGGGGAAATAAATAGTTGGCCTGTATGAGGATGAAGCCACGACGTCAGCAGCAGCAGATTGTAACCAAATGAGCCAACTGGACACAACAGAACCATGTTTGGACAGCAGGGGACGCCGATTGTGATGCATGCTGACAGTCTTGAGGCCCGTAATTACCCAAAGTGTCAAGTTTCATTCCAGGACAACAAAATTATGTTAAAGAGCCACATGCGTAGGCCACATGTAGCAAAAAAACATTCTCATCCCACTTTCAGCAAGAAAGCAAACAAACCTCGAACCCAGAATGTTGCTACTTTAAATTATCTGAAAGTAAGTTTTACTAAAACTAATATCTTAAATGAAAATTCCTTAAGTTCAGCGTTTAACTGTAACAAAGATACAAATTGTCTTTGGTTAAATGAAGGGACCTCTGTTTCTGAATTACCTCCAATACATCATTACTGTTGTGCAATTACTTGTTATTTGCTGTTTACGTAAAACAATACAGACGTACTGTAGGTATGATCTGCTAATACCTGCAGTTACTTCCAACATTTTACAACACTGCATTGATTTAAAAACTTTTTCTTTGTGTTATTACCTCCGAGCACACACTACACCATGTTTTACAGCTAATACAACAACTCTGAAACTTGCACATGACATATAAACAGAAAATACATTTTTGCTGTATTGGTGATTTAATCTACCAAAAGGTGTTCTTCCTCCTCCTCCTCTCTCACCTGAGCACTGCAGCCCCTGTCTGAAGAGGCCTTTGAGCAGCCGGTGGCAGTACTGGCAGACGGTAGGTTTGGTGTAGCTGTGGATCTGGAAGGTGTGCGGCACCTGAGCTCTGCTGCTGGCACCGTAGCCGACTCCCAGCCACACCGGAGGCTCGGCCCAAGATGGAGGCCTGGATGAGGGCTTGGACATGCTGATCTGGTGGAGGACAGACAGTGAAAGTCATCAGAGGTGCAGAAGGCCGTCTACTACTTCTACAATCCTGTCATGTCCTCACCTCTTCCAGACTGCCTCCTGCCTGATTGGACAGCGAGTGTGTGGGGGTTCGTCGGGGTGGAAACAGCGAGAGGCTGGTGCTAACCTGACGCCGTGCTCGACTACAGTTATTGGGCAACTGGAAGGCACAACGTTTATGGAAGTCTAACCCACAACCTGCGGCGGAGAAGAGAAAGAAACAAAAAAACAGTGCTTGTCATTTTGTGAAAACTTCAGTAGCGCTCCGGTGTCTCATAATGACTCTCCTGACATATATATAAAGAGGTGATAGTGCAGCTTTACCGTCACATTTTAACCCCTGTCGAACGAGACCCCACAGCATTTCTCCACAGTGGTGACAGAAAGTGGGAGTCCGGTACGACTGGACCACCAGCGAGTGAGGATAGATCCTCATCTCAGTCACGGAGGCTGATCCTGAGTCAGAAAAAAAAAAAAAAGAAGAGACAGAATACGTATGATATTAGAATCTGAAATGACTAATTTTGTTCTTTTCTGATCCTGAAACTCGACTTATTTCAACATTTGTGCACATTTAAAACATCTCCTCTAAGACTCAAAGTTACCTGACATGGGGTAATCTGCTGCAGTAACTTTTTAAAAAATAATTTTCTGACATGCAGTAACCACTTTTGCGAGGAAAAAGCCAAATGTATGAGAATCTAGTGTAAAATATAGGGTTAAAATATGTGCAATTTCAGGAACTATTTCATGCTATTTATTTTTTTTTCAATGGCACTGTAGGATGTGAAGTATATTTAGACTCTAACCGTTTCCCTGATGTGTCCATCAATCAAAATGACAAGGAAGCAGGTTTAAGCGCATTAATTCAAACCAGCTTGTGTGTGTGTTGCTATTCCTGTGATCTTTATGGATGTTTTTCTGCAGCAGACTTGTAGTTTCTGACCGAGTGCTGAGCTGAAGGCTTAAGCAGGGAGCCTCACCTGACACACAAGCTTCACTTTGAGACTGTGCAGCTTTGTGGAGGTTGTAGGTGTAAAGAATTACTGGCCGATAATATGGAGGAGTCTGTCGCTCACAGATAACCTGACAGTCGAGGACGAATAGTTATGTCCTTAAAGATGTTTCAGCACACAACTACTGCTTCGTAAAATGACTCAGAGTGTTCCTCCAAAACATTCACCTTTCGTTTTACAACATCTGTAATTCGAAAAGGTGAATGAATAAACTACAAATGAAGTCATCATAGAAAAGTAGGTTATGGACAGATAATCCCCCCAAAATAAACCTGTTGGTTGTCTGTTTTCTACTCTCCACCTGGCTGATTAAACCTCAGCAGTTTGACCTCTAACCTGAGATGATGACCTCGATGAGGTCTCCATCCATCAGCTCGTCTCCGTCAGTCAGCCGCTGCAGCAGCTGCCCAGATGTGGGCTGATGTCGGAATAACAGAATCTTCTCCCCGACACCCACCACGCTGCAGTCTGGAGCCTGAGCACACGAAAACACTCTCAGGTTGAGTCAAGCAATAACATAAACTTAAATTACCTTGAAGAGCTGCAGTGATGGGATTCTATTTTTATTTTTTTCCTCCTTATGAAGGAACAAAAACATTTTCTGAAAGCAGAAAGAAGCAATGTGGGGGTGGGGGGTGGGGGGAATGCACAATGTATTTAAACTTTTGATGAACTTTTAATACAGAAAGTAAACATTTTTATGCCGACAATGTTCTTTTGATAATTAAGAAGCTCTAATCTGCAGATTTCAAAAGGTGAAGTCATGTAAAATGTAAAATAGTACTTAGTCCCACCAATGTAACTGTTCTAGACAATATAGGGAAATACTTTTATACATATATGAGCCTCAAATCAAATAAAACGGGGCATTTAAAGCGCTAGATGACTCTTCTTCTGTGCAAAACTGTGAGCTGCTAAACTTGAAATTTTATACATTAAACATGACATTGAAGCAGTCCATTGAGGTCTGATGCTGTCTCATAACGAAGGACATCACCTTCGTTTTTGGCCAAATCAAAGTGACATTAAAGGGAAATATTCTCTGTAAAAAAAAAACACCAACACACTAGTCTAGTCTATTTTCTATTAACTGCAGTATCAGCGTGTAAAACAGACTTGGCAGCTAATCAGGAACACATGAAACAATATTTTCTGCTTCACTTCTCAATGGTAAGCTGATAACTAGTTTGTGAAATATACTGCTAGGAAGTTAACAAATACACAGTACATACAGAATAATAACCAGTATATCTATGGGAATTGTGTTCTCCCTTAAAGTAGGTACTGGCCTTAAAACTCCAGTATCCGCCAGATTATTACTACAAATATTGTGTCACTGCTGCACAGTCAGATGTAGAGAGATTTAAAAAAAACTGTCTGCAACAGATTCTGTTGAGAGCTTCAGCAAACGCAACACGTCTGTCTACTACAATCAATCAAACAGATCTCACAGAGTAACAGATACGATCTGAAATACTGGACGCAGTGACAAAAGCCATTCTGTCAGTCACGATTCACATCCGCACGTGGCGCTACAGCAAAAAACAAACCACACTGAAATGTGCCGCATTGAGGAGAAATGGTTCTGAAGATACTACAAATGACGCGCCACAACTAAGATGCATTTCCGCTGATTAGTGATGCTGCTCATACAGAACCTGTGTTTTATGTGAGTGAAGTAGGACAGAGGAAGAGAAAGGCTCATCAACGATCAATAAAATCAGCTGTGATAAGCTTTACTACTGAAGTAGAATTAGTTTTCACTCCTGTGTGATTGTACACTGTGCACTAAAAATATGATCAGACCGTACAGGTACACAAGCAAAAGGATTCTCTGCTCCTGTTATTACACACTTATTAAATACACAATGTGGATAAAGGGTGATTCTAAAATGCAGCAACTTTTGTTTTCAATCTGTAAAGTTTCTAATCAGTTTTTGCGTGACCCAGTTAGGTGGAACTAAGTGTGGGGCTCTAGTGCTGGAGATGCAGTGATACTCACACACAGTATCTGGCACAACTGCAGTGACATGCTCATGCAGGCAGGTTTGTGGACAGTGAACACACACAAAAAGTACAGGAGCACTCACACACACACACAAAGTAACACACAGTGCTGGCCGGCTGCCTGGAAACTCAAGAGCAGATCAAAGTTGGAAAGGAGGGCTAGTGTGTGCGATGCAGCTCACACCGTCGTGTGTCTGTGTGTGTTGTAGTGTGCGTTTGAGACAGAGGGGAGAGGCTGTGGTCGGAAAGTTTTCTGTGCTCTCGTCGACCACACAGTCCCTGTAATGGAAGCGTTCTGAAGACCAGGCCAGGCAACAGCGACACACACCTGCAATTCACAACCTGCTTTATTTAACCTCAACTTTCGATGCACCATTTAGGATCCGCCTGCAGTTTTACATTTTAATCTACACCTGAGAAAGTTTTTTTTTTTTATAAGTGTGTCAAAGTTTGGAGGTAGGAGGAGGCTGTGAAGAGGAGGGTTTTAACCTGCTTATATGTAGATTATCTAAAAAGATTTTAATCAGAAATGCATAAAACTATGAGCCTGGCATGTCACAGAGATGAAAGAAACAAAAAACTAACTCTGAAAAGCCCCAGAGGTTGTTGTTAAACTTGCATCTGACCGAACAGGGTCAAAATTCTGATTAAATCGGGCGTTACCGTAAACTGGATACAGCAGAAAACCACCACAGCATCCCTCAGACTCGGCTTCAGGCAGTCTAAAGCCACACTTTGTTCGCAGAAACCCACACAATTCTCCTTCATACATAAGGTGACCTTTCAGAGTCCATTTCCTTTCAATTCTGAGAGGTCTGAGAGACTTGAAACGTCAACTGAATATTTTCCAAGTGGGACTGCATTATGGTTAGAGCGTGCTTTCATTCACTCACTGCCTCCTCCAACCTTATATTTTATTAGTAGTCAAGGTTTTTATCCTCTTGTGACTCACGGCTGTGTGTTAAGTCCATCATTACTGTTACATTCAGAGTCAGCTGTATGCGTTTTAAAAACTGATTTGCTCTGACCTGCTTACCTGCGAGACAAAAAGGGGTTAACAATAGCGAGAAAGATGCCACAAGTGCTGCTTTAATGTCTATTTAAGGGGATTTAAATAAACTCCAACCACAATTCTCACTCTGCTCTGGTTTCTTAAAGCGGTAGCTCTGCAGTTTTAGTTTTTAAAGATGAGAATTTCAATTCTCAGAAGCCCCAAAGCTCCTAAAAGTCTAAGCCTGGACCTATATTTCCCATGATGCAGTTCAATAGCATCTTTTGTGAGACCTTTCCTGCCTCCTAAATGGTCACACGGCTGGATTTGTTTGTTAGGTCTCGAGACAACAAGAGAAAACATTATCCAACTGTCTCACAGGTTGAGAATGACAATATGAAGCTAAAGTGTAAAATCACCGCCTCAGCTGATGTATGTTCTGATCAGATGGACAACATCCTCACAGAGCTCCAGGTTGGTCGTATGAGATTCACAAACGTGTGTAAGGTTTAGGTTACCTTGCGCTCTATGACCTCAGCAGCCAGCCTGTGGGCATGGCGGTAGCTCAGGTTGCCAGCAGGGACTCGAACCACCTCCCTGAACAGGCCCAGCTTGAACTGGACCAATACTGGCGCCATGGGACTGGTGGGACTGGAGGGCGTCGCCGCGGACATGGAGAGGCAGTCTGTGGACGAATTCACAGATTTATTAAAGGAATTTTGGTATGAGGGGTTTTGATAAAATTGAGAAAAAGCTGCTGCGGAACTTTTCCAGGTTCAGTCCTGTTGTAAATACGTAGTTCTTACTTCATAGCTGTTGTTTGAAAGTACAGATGAGGTTTCAGGAGCAGGAACAATAACAAGCAACATTTAAGTAGCTCCTCTAAAAAGACTTCTGATTCACTGATGTCAAACACCAACTAATGGAGAAAAACTACAACAGGACATGAATTATTTACCATAATATGATCAGGACACAGCTAAACTACATAAATCATCACATCTGAGCTGAAAAATGTTAAGAACTCAACCGCATTTTATGAAACTTGATAGAAACAATCTTACTTTCTAATCCTGGTTCATTCAAGCTCCAAACTTTCACCTCAACTGCAGGATCGTGTGGCAGCGATGAGACAGCTGATTATCTGATCATTGTGTTGCAGACTTTCAAAATGCACTCTGGTTTCCTTTTTGTGGGCTGCTGATGAGACAGGAAGTAACAGAGAGACACTTACCTCTGTGAAGACTTGCCATTGCAGGGTTCGGTTAACACCCCCAAGCTCGAGCTGTGAAAAGTTACAAACATACACACTGAAACAACAGAAACTATTTTCGGCAGCAGCTGCGTAGATGAAAATGTACGAGACACAGAATCAGTTTGAAAAGTGAAATTCGTATTTATTGAACCTTTGATAAAATACACATTAGGTTGGCCCCGTCATAATAAGATCCGTTAAATCATCTGCATTTGCCCGTAGGAGTTCCCACATGTGTACCAGACCCTCGTATGTGTAACATTTACCCTCCGTGGCTCCGAGTAGATGCACTGATCTCCATAAATATTTGAACAAAAAAAAAGAAGCCCTGAACAGAAACAATAATCTGATTTATCTTTGAAGCTTTGGATCAAAAATCTTTCTGCAACAGTGATTCAAGATGAATATTTACAAGCAGTTTTTTGTGTCTCAAATGAGCAAAGTAGTGTGTTCATATATTTATGGAGTTTGCAATTCCTGAACTTCCATTTATCTCCAGAAGAGCACGAATACTGAACCAACCCAGGGTGAAGAAGTGATTAATACCATAGAGGACTGATTAATATTGGTATGGTGGTGGTGTGTATACTGGAGAGGAGCACTCATGTTTATTGAATCTTCAGCTACAAATCAGTGCTTCATTCACTTTGTTTTTTTTGTTTTTACAGCTACATTGTGTTGAGATTGTGTGTGTGTGTGTGTGTGATTTCAGGAGTTTCCCATCATCATGTGTGAACAAGTGACAAACAGTAAACACATATATAAAGGTCATACACAGATATTTCTGTACATTATTTGCTGCGAACAACACTTAAAGCACTTTTCCTTCACCGGTGTCTTTCCAAAGCACTTGCAGTCACGTTTCTGTGTCTCCTTCCTGCTCGTCCTCCGTCTTTCCTTCATGCATGCTTGTCTTCGTTACAAAACCTGCGCCACCTCGCACATTCAGAAGCTGATAGGATAATTAGCACTTTTTAAACTCAGAGCGACTTCATCAAAGGTGATTTCAAAAAGGTCGACTTCAGTTTATTTAGGCGTACGGCGATGGTGTGCATGCACCAACGTTGACGAAATGCCTTCGCAATAAACCTGCGTGTTCACGTTTTTGAAATCACGTTCAGGTTGTGTTGACCTTTTGACTTTCTTACATTACAAGGTTTGGTAGCAAGTTTTAGGAAAAGTAACGGAAGAAAGCCAAAACAAAAAGAGCAATCTGAGGATCTGACGTCACCTGCTGAGTCTGACTTCGACTTAACGTAACAAGAGGTGTACATTCGGTGGACAGTTCCCTTGGTCTTATTTTGGTGGAGTTCATCTCCTGACTTGAAAGCACATCACAACAATCCAGTGTAAATGCCACCAGACCCCACATTCGACATTAAAAGTAACATTCAGATAAACAGTTTTCAGTACCTTCAACATAAAAGCTCGGAGCCAAAACAAGAAAACGCATGAGCACAGCAAAATTCACTGAGGATGGATGGTCATCGGTCGGATTTCTGCCAGAGTCTGATTGTGACTGATGAAATCCAGGTCAGCATTAAAAACTGAGGATTGTATTGTACAAAATGATACATATTCAGCAACGGCGAATGAGGAAAACAAAAAAACAAAAATCACAAAAGAAATCTTGATAATGAAAGTAAACATATTGTAGCCGACGCACTGCATCGGCTTTGAACAAATAATTAAGATAATTACCCAAAGTTTGAAATGAGGGTTGATTGCCTGGAATGATTGTAAACAAATTAATTGGAAATACTTCTTTAACATCATTTTTCTTCAACATCATTAAGACTTATGGATGTTTGGTAAAATCCTGGAACGCTTAAGTTTGTCTTTATTCAAAAGATTTGTGGCTAAAGTGGGTAAAAGGTGCCTGAAAGCTTTGATTTTAGCGTCTGATTAAATGTCGTGTTGTAGGTAGTCTTAGAAGGGCTTCAGACAAATGATTGAGGTTTATTTGTACATTTAAGTTCAAACAAGTTTTCTGGCCCCTTTTTCATCTTTTCAGCGAGAAAGTTCATTTGAAATAGAATGTGGTTTTCACCCCAGATGGCTGCCAGACATACAGTACTGTCACACTCAAAGTGCATTATTTTAGTTTAGACTGAAACCTTGATGGCTCGGTAGCATATTTCAGTGATCGAGGTAATAAATTAATCAGCATTTTTGACATTTTCATTGACCCGATGAGCTAAGTGCTCATTTCAACGCTTTCTTTTCACTCCCTCTTTTCTTTTCCTTCAGTTCCAGTTTCTTCCCTTCAGATAAGTAGCATTTTTTTTTTCCAACAAAGACCCTCTTTAACGCAATAAAGTGTAAACAAAAACAGAAATCAATCTGAGCTATATACAAAGAATGAAATAATTTAAAACTGTATATACATAAAAAACAAGAAGGCAAAAAGTGAGGTTGAAATGGTTAGTGCTAATGTTTCTTGTTGAAAATCCCCAAAGATTGCTTGTTTTCTCTTTTCGTACCTCTGCTGTCTCTCGGTTAAAATCTAAGCATATCGTACCTTTTTCTTTTTTTTTTTACCATCTGTGATATGCATTCGGTTGATGGTTAGCATTAGCCATTACTTCATGCTACTGGTGAAATATACAAAGTGCAACGCGTCTCTCTGAACTGAAACTGGAGTACATTAAGCCTACCTAAGGTTGAGTGTCTGCACATGACAGTGTGGATTGAAGAAACCGACTCGTCACAATGTGAATACGATGCTTTGCTACGGTGCTATGAGTCAAAAACACGAGGCGTTCAGGTGCAGACATTCCACTTTCTAGTAAGCGGCATGCTCATAAATGTGTATCTAAATATTCTCTGTTCTGATCGATGGCGGCGGTTTGTACAGCGGAGCAGCAGCGACTGTGTCTTACAGGATGACGTTTAGTGTGGTAATGCTCGTTTCAGTGTTCTTTAGAAAATATGCTGCAGGTGCTAGTGTTTGATCTCGCTTTGAGCTTTAAGTGTGTGGTTTGATCAAACCGAGCTGCTAACAGCCTCTCCTCGTCGGGCCACTTGGTGCCTCCCGAGTCCCACCTCGCCGCTCTGTCTATCCGATCAGGGAGCTGCGTCTGGACAGGTCCACGTTGCTGGCACTTAGTCCCCTGCAGTCTGACAGCTCAGAGTTGGCATCCTGAACACACATCAGGTCAAGTTAGTATGTGGGTTGGACAACACTCTGTATACTTCATTTTCAACTTACACTGAAACTCGTTTTGCACCCAACTTTGTGAAGGTAAACAGTTACTAACACAATTCACCTGTGACCTTTCATCCAGCTGTGCTCATAAAAATAACAGTCTTAAGTATACGCAGACAACATTTATACAACACCTACATCTCATTTGGCACCACACTGGTTAGGCAGCAGAACAGACTGCTGTATAATGGAGATCTTTCAGCCTAAAACATTTAAACTGACGGCCACTAAATCGCCTGTTTGAGGACAGAAGTCGTCCTCTTTATTTGAGACATGTGAGAGATGAGAACAAATACTGTTATCAAGTCTGAACATGCCCTTGTTGTGAGCTGTTCTAGAGCTAATAATCCTCAAACAAATGCAGATTTGCAGACATACAGTTCCACAGACAGGATACAGAACCAGGCTGACACCACTCTGAAACACTGATTTAAACAGAAATTCACATTCAGCTATTACATATGATATTGTTGAACGTCAGGAAATTTTATATATATATATTTAGAAGCTGTTCCACGCTGCCCATTCTTGAGATAAATCATGTGCTGTGATGAATAAAATGTAAAGCAGGGACGAGTACCTGTGTGGTTTCCTCAGTGCTCTTGTTGAGGAAGTTGAGGGAGCTCGCTCGCTTCATTCTGCACAGAAAAACACAAGCAAAAGATGAACTTGGATGAAACAACTTGGGTATGAAACAAAGACAATGCCGTTATAATTTTTTTTAGATCTTGGGGACAAACTTAACAAAAAACAGCTGATTACTCTGAAGACTCACTGGTTTGAGCTTCATAGATTGAAACAAATGGCAGATTATTTCGTATTTCTTTTTTTCAATCATTCTAAATTTAGTTTGACAGTTTTTAATCACCGTGTCCAGGGTTTTCTGGACCTTTCAAGAAAAAATCTAATGATTTAAGACAAAGTAACTCTATGCAGGGGACGACTGCAGCACCGCACAGTCTAACTTGCCAAAATGCATTTATTTTTGACATTCCTGTGCTAAATCTTCATTAGTCAAGTGGTGACAGCTGGTTTGAAATTTTAAGAAAAATCCAATGACCCTCAGCTAACAAGGTACAAGTCAGTGGAGTGATGCCATTTTTAAGATTGTGCAACATTTATGATTAATTTTAATATTTTCAAGTTTCTGACCATTAATTTGTGGAATTAGGATTAATGACATCAATAAAGAACTTATTATTGCAGCCTCGACTACAACCTAACTGACTATAAGGTCGTATTTCCACACAAACAGTCATCTTACCCTGGGTTGCGGGGCTCTTGAGGCCCGCTCCCCTGCAGTTTCTTCACCAGCATTTCGCTGCTCCTCCTCAGAGCATCACGAATCTTCCCGAAGGAGCCGCTGCGACGCAGAGACCCGTTCCCATCCTGAGGACGGAAAAAAAAAAAAAAAAAACTTTTTACTGAAAACAATAAACGTGAAAGGCATTTCCTGCTAAGGCTCATCAGGCTACAGTCACTGCGCTTCTTTCTCTTGCTTTTGGTTTAAATACATCTGAGAATTTCTTCATTAACACATGAAATAATCCTTGATGTCACACATCTACACTGTAATTCAAGGTCATGCTGTCCTTGTGCTGTCCACTACCTGAAGATGAATTTGTAAAATGCTTTCATTAGAATTTAAATTAATTCATGGCCAGAACCTCACCCCGTTCCACTCAGCGGAGTCGTCACCCTCATTCTCGCCCCGCTGTCCCCCAGGTCCGTTGATTCCTTCCCTGCTGTGTCGTCTGTCGCTGCCTCCAGCTGCTCCGTCCTTCAGCAGCTCCACCACCTTACTCTGGTTAATGGCATCGAT